GCGTGTGCGCGCCCGGGTAAAGCCATTCAAATGCAAGGTACCGTCGGGGGTCCGGGGGGGGTTGGCGGGGGCCCTGGTGTGCTGTGCGCCCGGAGAAAGCCGGCCGGGCTGGGTCAGTCTTCAGTCACAGGAGAGCAGTTTTGTGATGCCTCCCTCTGTTCGCTCGGGCAAACAGCTCGTCCTGCCGCGTCCACTCAGCTGCGCAGCGAGGAGCTGCTGCGGGCAGGGCACGGGCACCGCTAACGGAGAGGGACGATGAGTACCTCTCTCTGCCCGGCGCTGTGTGCTGGAGTTCCCCGCAACACCACCACAGCATCCCCGAGACCTCCCACCGCAGAGCAGGAGGGGGGAAGCAGCCCTTGGTACTCTTGCAAGTTGGTGGGAGCAATGGGGGTCCCCAGGGGTGAGGTCTGCTCCGGAAAGCCCACGTCCCTACGGCAGCACCGGCCGTCATGAGCGCACGCCTGCCACTGTTCCCCACCACCACCACCCCTTTGCTGGGGGCGGCAGCGGGAGAGCCCTCGCTGACCCCAGGAACGCTGCCCACAGGTCTGCGGGAAGTCCTTCAACCGCATGTACAACCTGCTGGGCCACATGCACCTGCACGCGGGCAGCAAGCCCTTCAAGTGTCCCTACTGCTCCAGCAAGTTCAACCTGAAGGGCAACCTGAGCCGGCACATGAAGGTCAAGCACGGGGTGATGGACATCAGCCTGGACAGCCAAGGTGGGTGCGGGCTGTGGCCCTCCCGCAGGGCCCACGGAAAGGTCCCGAGCAGGACCTGGAGTGAACTTTGTAAACTTGGTACAAATACCAACTACAACAAACTACTACAACAAACTACATTTAAAAATAAGTTTAAAATAAATGGCTCCTTAAGGAGCCACTGAGGCTTTGGCATCTCTGGCCAGGATGGTGCCCTCTGGTGACGCGGGGGTTGTGGTTTTGGTTTCGGTCCAAGGGTTTTGCAGGGTGGGAGGGGTAAATACCACAGTTTTTGCCCCATCTGCCCCCGCTGCGCCTGCCCACGGGGGGACGGGAGGTGCTCCTGCTGCAGGTTTCCGCACAGCATCAGCGCAGATGCTCCATCAGCAGCTTTGCAGCGGGACCACCCCCACGAGTGGGACCACCCCCACGAACGCGTGGGGCTGCAGTGGGAGGATGCCTCTCCTGCGCTGTGCTGCCCTCCTCTCCTCGCCTCCCCCAGCCCCCGTGGTGGGACGGGTGCCACAGACCCCTGCCTGTAGCACGGGCGCTGATCGGGGCTGAGCACACGCGTGGCTGGGTGTCCGCTGGCAGCACATCCCGGCTGCGGCGCGGGGACGGGGGTCCTCTGAGCCAAGAGCCCCCCACGAGCAGCCTGGCTCAAGCAGAGCTGTATCTCCGGAGGAGCTTTGGGCTCTAAACCTGAGCTGCCCGGGGAGGACGGGGTGCTGTTGGCTCCGCACCTTCGCGCGTGTCCATCACCGGGTGTCCCTGTGCTCAACCCTAGATCCCATGATGGACCTGGCCGGGGCCGACCACGCCGAGCTGGACGGGCAGCACGAGATGGACGACTTTGAGGAGGAGAACTCTTATGGCTATGGGGGGGTGGGCAACCCTCCGGACGAGCACGCCCTGACCGAGCAGGCCATGAAGGAGATGGCGTACTACAACATGTTGTAGCCGAGGCTGGAGGAGGCTGCGTGGACCTTGTGTGGTAAGAGGAGCTGCTGCCGGCGGGCTGCAGCGCCCGGCCAGACCCGCACCACCACCCCTGGAGAGGGGGGGCTCCAGCTGAGCTTGGTGAAGGAGAAAACAGGGATGTCCAAAAACCTTTGCCGGGGCGAAGGCGGGAGCGGAGGCTGGAGGCGGCACAGGGCAGTGGTCGCCG